TTTTTGTTGTTTTTTTTTTTTTTATATAATTTTATTTTTTTATTTTTTTTTTTTTTTTTTTTTTTAAAAAAAAAAAAAAAAAATGTCGATGACGCCATCGGTGTCAGTCATTGTTGAAAAATGAAATAAAATTTGACTAAAAATACGAACAAAACAAACGGCTAAAGAATGCATTTAACTCGGTTATTACGTACACAACAACCATCGTTAACACATCTGATTGATCATTATGCTAAATTTCCGCCCACGGGCTTAACCATGAAGAGAATTGTTGAATTTGGTATGTTCAATTTTTTTACTCGATATTTTAGTTGCATAGGTTTCCTTTGTTTTATAAAATAAAAAATAGCACGTGAAGGTGATGCAAAACAATCATATTTATTTCTTCGAAACGAATTACCCGTTCGACTTGCTTCGATGATGAAAGAAATGGGACATTTACCACCACGTCTACTTGATATGCCAAGTGTTAAAACAGTGAATGGCTGGTATGGAACCAGTTTACACGAATTAGATTCATTTAAACAATTAGCAGCAAATCCTGAAACTGTAAAAAAGTAAAGAAATGATAATAAAAATAAAAGCAAAGTGTACTGATTGATGTATCCACTTTATTGAATTTGTAGATTTACTGAAGTTTTACAAAATATACGTAAAAGACATTCAACTGTTATTGAAACATTAGCACAAGTAATCGATTCGTTTTTTTCCCGTTGTAATTCGATGATGATGTTTTGGTTTTCTTCTAGGGTTATATGGAATTTTCTGATGTGGGACCGGTTAAAGAATATGAAGAATCACAGATTCAATATTTCTTGAATCGATTTTATTTATCTCGAATCTCAATACGATTACTTATTTATCAGCATAGTATGTTTAATGATTTGTTTTTAAATTCCATCGAGTTAACGAGAATGGTCTCAGTCGATCATGTTTTAATTTTAATAACATCGTTGTTTGTATTATTAGAGAAACTCAGGAACATGTCATTAATAAGATATATTGAGTTAGATGAAGAAACAATGAGAAATTTCTACAATTAAAAAAGATTAGATATATTTTTGGAAAGGTAGATGTATTCTCAATAAAACTATTTACTACAGCTTGATAATGCCGCGAAATGTTTTTATTTAAAATTTTGAATATAGCGATGTGTTTTGGTGAAGAAGTACCTATACATCCTGCGCATCTCGGCTTTGTTGATCCCAATTGCTTTGTCGAAGATATAATTAAGGGTAACAATGAAGAAATAATGAAAATTTGATGAAAATTTGATTTTATTTAAGATGCATTTGAAAATGCTCAATTTCTATGTGAAGGTTACTACTTGACAGCTCCTGCGCTAGAAATTCGTAGGATAAATGGTATTTATTGCATTTCTTTAATGAAAAACTATTCAATTATTGATTTTCATATCATATTTCTAGCAATAGATCCTGAAGAACCAATAGCAATACCTTATGTACCATCACATCTATATCATATTATGTTCGAGTTATTTAAGGTTAGTTCAAATTAATTTTTGCTTTTAAAATGATAATTTGTTATTATTTTTCTTCTACTACAGAATTCGATGCGTGCAACTATTGAATATTTAGAAAGTAAAAAATCAAACAGTTCATTACCTCCTATTGTGGTTCGTAATTTAGAGTGATAATTTTAACTGATTTTGTTCAATTTTACCATAGGTTGATGTGGTAAAAGCAAAAGAAGATTTAACTATTCGTATTAGGTAAAAAGGATAGTTAATATTTTCTTTATATCATTATGATTTATAGTGATCATGGTGGTGGCATTCCACGTTCGAAAGCAGATAAAATATTTCGTTATATGTATTCAACTGCACCAAGACCTGTATCATTAACTGATACTCAACATTCAGGTCCAACACCACTGGCTGGTTTTGGTTATGGTCTTCCAATTGTAAGTTTTACAGTACTGATTCGAAAAAAGGAAGTGTGAATTGCAGTGCAAAATATTTAACTCAAGCCCAAAGAGTCATCTAAATAGACAATGAAGTTCTCTGTTAAAATGCATTTCAAATTGAAATCTTATACGAGAAATAAGAAACAAGGAAAGAATATATCTACTTTCTGTTAACTAGCTAATAGTTAATTAATACTGCATAATAGACAGATTCAATAGTCTCATACCTCTCCTACAACGAATAAAAATTGTCACTCTCAAGACCCTTCTCTATGCAAATGTAGAAGCATTTCTAAAAATACTAAAAGCAACGAAATGTATCATAGGATTGCTAAAAATTAGAATTTTTGCTATAATTTGTCAGTAGAAAAACCAAAGGAAATCTGACAGATTTTCGAGAACTATTGTTCGTATTACAGTCGAGTCCACTAATAAGAGCTCCGGATAAAGGAGCGGTCCGCTTTTAAGAGCTATTTTCCAATTTCCCGTTTCTTTCTCCTGTGTTTTACGTGCTGGCAAAGTCCGCTTATGAGAGCTTCGGATAAAGGAGCGGTTCACTTATAAGAGCTGTGTTTTGGCGCTTTTTTGTGATTTTACTCCGTATAAAAGAGCCTTTTTTATCTATATGATTATAAATATGCACTTCATAGCTGCGCCGATACAAACACAAGTTGTATCGCTCATCTACATCGTATCTATGTTACATTGTAACGAGATATATACCTATGAAAAACCTCCAATTCATGAATCATGCAACGCCATGTAACGGAAGGTAACTGCATGTAACTGCATATAACAGCATGTATCGGCTTGTATCAAGTCTCTGTTACAATGTATCCATATATACACCCCAGAAAACCTTAGAATTCATGAATCATGTAACGGCATGTAACGGGATGTAACGGCATGTATCGGCTTGTATCGGAGCTCTCTTACAATGTATCCATATATATACCCCTGAAAAACCTAGAATTCATGAAACATGTAACGGCATGTAACGGCAGAAGCCGCGAAAGTGGGGGTGGGGGAGTGTACACCACCCCAGTAATTGGAATTTTTTGCTTTTTTTTCCAGCGACCAGAGCAGATTTGGACCGAATTTTGTGTTTTTTTAAGAAATTTTGCTCTAAGTACTCCTTTACACCCCCAAAAATTTTGACAATATTTCAAAACCCACCACACTCCCCCAATATTAGACCCTTCGCGCGGCCTCTGTGTAACGGCTTGTATCGGGGCTCTCTTACAATGTATCCATATATATATACCCCTGAAAAACCTAGAATTCATGAATCATGTAACGGCTTGTATCGGCTTCTATTGAGCCTCTGTTTCATTGTATCGATATATTGTAACAGAGGCTCGACACAAGCCGATACAACCCGATACATGCCGTTACATGATTCATGAATTCTAGGTTTTTAAGGGATATATATATATATATGGAAACAATGAAACATAGATACGATGTCGATGGGCGATACAAATTGTATCCGTAGCGACGCACCCCTCATGCGCTCATGCTCTTCTTCTTTTCTTTTCTTTTCTTATTAGTTATCCGCCAAGGATTTTTTCTTCTCTGTTATATATATCGGGTGTCCCAGGAATAATGAGCCTCTCAGGATTTTACCAATATTTGCGTCAGTTTTCGTCGCACAGATTTAACTCTTTTCATCAGAAGATGCCTCGTTCAGTTCTCTACAAAACCGCATGAAAATCGGCGGTTAACCGCGGTTTTACCGATCCGGTTACCGGCTCCCATTACCGCAGAACGGATAAATACCGCGGTTTACCGCAAAAAATGATCCGACATTTACCGCGGTAAACCGCCGGTTTTGATTAATATCGCGGTTACCACTAAAAAACAGCGGTTAACCGGTTCGTCTATAATCTTTGACAGAAAAAGTCTTCCAAATCATCAATTAAACTATTTTAATCATCCTTTTTTTTTACTTTTACATGTGATAAACATGAGCAAAAAACCGCCGGTTTACCGCGATTTTACCGGTCCGGTTACCGGCTCCCATTACCGCAGAACGGATAAATACCGCGGTTTACCGCAAAAAATGATCCGGTATT